CATTATCACAGCCGGTCTGGGGAGCTAACCTGGTCCTGTGACATTAATCTCTTCCCAGGGTAGCATCCCAGGGTCTAATCCTCTTCAGCGAGCCTCCATCTCCTAAAGATCTGCAGTCTCTCCAGCCGCCCCAGAGGTATCACCTCCTCAGTCTGCCACCACACTCCTTTGGGGCACAAATCACATCCAAACCAGGGAATGAGGTTTTCATGTAGCCTCCTCTCTGATGGAGGAGATACTATGTTTCTTGAGATTTTATTTCTACTTTTTGCAATACTGGGGATCAAATTCAGGGAGTGCTGGGCTATATCCCGAGCCTGTTTTATTTTGAGACAAGGTCTCTCTCAATTGCCCAGTCTTCTCTGAGATTTGAGATCCTCCTGCCTCAGCCTTCTGAGTAGCTGGAATTAGAAGCATGCATCATGACAGCTACCTTGCTTCTTGAGGTTTTATTAGGAAACCGAAGTACCAAATGACATTTAAAAAGTTTGTTGTACTGCTTATGGTCTCCAAAGACATTCCACCCAAGGCTGCCAGGTGCCCTTTATGATGGATAGACGGTGGGACTAATCAGGAGTGGGGGCCCCATAGGTCCCCAAGCTGTGCTCCAGGTCTCTCTACTGTGACCTAGCATCAGGCCCACTTTCCAAGGATTCCTTTCACTGCACAATGAACCACACAGGCGCCTACACAGTGAGCACCATGCTGTCCTGGAGCAATGTCCACCCAGAGCGAGATCCTGGGGGAGTTCCTACAGCCTTTGAAATTTAACCCAACACCACCATCCTTGAGCCCCTTCTTAGGGGCTAAAATGCTCCCATTCACAGAACTGGTACAGAAGCCAGCCCCACTCCACCGCCAAAGGTCACTGCAAACATTTGAGCATTTTAACTACCATTAAAAAATGCAACCTCAGCTGGGCATGGTAGCACATGCTTGTAATTCCAGCACTCCAGAGGCTGAGGCAGGAGGATTATTTGCAAATTTGAGATCAGCAAAGTGCCTGAACTGTATAGTGAGAGCCTGTCTCAAGAAGACAAAAAAAAAGCAACCTTTTTCTATTTTCCCTTCAGTGTCACACTCCGGGCATTTTTCCTTGTCCTCAGGTAGAGCGCTGCACGGGTAGAGCCAAGGCTCTCCTGGGAGGAAGGCCGGGAGTCTGCGCCAGAGTCCTGGCATGCTTTTCTTGGTACCCTGCCCTGCAGATTTCCACCTGAGCTGGCCAGCCCACAATTGCATAAGCCGATTCTGTGCAATCAGTCTCTTCCTGTGTCTCTCCCACATGGGTCTGCCTCCTCTGGACACAATGGAGATGTGTTAAAATGAGAATTCTCCTCATCTGCAAGTAGTGTTGGCACCTGTGCACTGTTTGTGTGAGGAGTCTACAGGTTAAAGGTGCCGGGGAGGATGGCGGAACAGAAAGAAGACTGGAAAGGCTTCTCGTCACCTGCAGGACCTGACTTGGTCTCCTCTGAGGACACTGCATAAAAGGCTGCAGACTGAGGCGGAAGCTGGCGTCAGATCCTGTGTGGTGGTCTAGGTCTCGATTCTCTAGAAAAAGAAAAGAAAGAGAGGAAAGGGAGGGAAGGAAGGAAAGACGAAAGGAAGGAAGTGAATCAGAGTAAGAAAGAAGGGAGGAAAAGACCAGGTCTGTAGCCAGGTGTGGTGGTGCATGCCTGTAATCCTGGCACTTAGGAGGCTGAGACAGAGGATTGCTGTGAGGTTAAGGCAGCTGTGGCTACATAGTAAGTTCAAGGCTAGTCTGAACTACACAGTGAGCTGTGTCCCCAAAAAAAAAAAAAAAAAAAAAAAAAATGCAGATCTAAGGCAACCTATTGGGAATCTCCAGTCTCTCAGGTTAATCCTATTCACCAATAAATTTTCCTACCATTAAAAAAAAAAAAAAACAAACGAACCCACAACAACACAAGTCTGGGTGCTGGAATAAGGCTCGTCCTCTGTCTGGCAGGCTGTGTGATTCTGACCCCTACTGCTGATCTCTCTCTGGGCCTCACTGTCCCCGTGAAGGAAGAAGTTGAACCAGATAGAGCTCTAAGGAAGTTCTCCGGGCAAATCAGTCTCAGACCATGAGTTTGCTTTATTAGGGCTTAGAATCTCTTATTGTCAGCTCTGCTGAGGTAGAGTTTACATACAGGTAAACCAATACCTTTTAAGTGGATGCACGTTGGAATACATAGGCACAAAATGTGACCAGGTGATCACTGTGTCACAATCACGACACACGATTCAAATCTGTCCAAAGTCCCCTTCCCCACCGTCCAGTTCCCCATGTGCTCTGACCATAGCTTTGCCTTTATTAGGACCTGACATAAACGGGTGCACACAGCGTGTATTCTTTTGGGCCCAGGTCCTTTTATCTGACACAAGACTTTGGAGAGTGAACTGGACATGGTGGTTCAAGTCTATAATCCCAGCACTCAGGAGGCTGAGGCAAGAGGAGCACTATGAGTTCGAGACCAGCCTGGGCTACCAAATGAGCTCAAGGCCAGCCTGAACTGCATAGAGAGACCCTGTCTCAAAAGACAAAAAAATAAATAAATAATAAAATAGACCAGTTACGTCCTTTGCTCATTTCCTGTTGGGTTATTGATCTTTTCATTGCAAATTCTTTTTCTTTTCTTCTTCTTTTTTTTTTTTTTTTTTGGTATCGGGGATCGAACTCACAATCCCATGCTTGCCCGGTAGGTACTTATGCCACTGAGCTAAATCTCCAGCCTCTCATTGCAAATTCTTAGAAGTTCATGGTTCTTTGTTTGTGTTCTTTTTTGAACAATGGCCTCACTATGCAGCTCAGTCTGGCCTTAAACTTGATGTATAGCCCAGGTTGGCCTCGATCTTGAAATGATCCTCCTGCCTCAGTCTCCTGAGTGCTGAGATTACAGGTGTGCACTGCTGTGCCTGGCTAGAAGTTCATGTTTTAGAAAGCAATGAATAATATGGAAATAAATTTTATTTTTTCCTAAAACTTCTTGACTATTGTTTCCCATCCAGTGACTGGAGGAGACAATGACTAGAGATCCCATTCCTGGATGGCAGACACCGGGTGGAGACACCATCCTTCCTTCCTTCCTTCTGCCACCACTAGAAGTGCTTCCTCCTGCTTTCAGGACCCCGCAGGGGAGCCCACTGACCTGACTCTCCCCAAGGCTGATGTCCCCTGACGGGGGAAGGAGAGCAAGTACCCATGGCTTCAGCCCCGGCTCCTTGCTTCAACCTCAGCTCAGCTTCCTCAGCCACAGTGAGCTCGGCCCCTGCTGCCCTCCCTGTCACCTGTCCTGGGCCCCAGACCTGCATGGCCAGGTGGGTGGAGCCTCCTGACGTCCTCCCTCTGCTTCCCCACTGCCTGTGAACACTGAGAAACCTCCGCAGCCGCTGCTTCCTAACCTTGAGTGAAGACTGTGGGCCGAGGGATGGAGGACACAGAAGCTGCTGGACTTCGCCTCTTCCTCAGGCCGCCCCTCTGTGAGGCACCAGAGGACCTCTGGCCCCAGAACAGGTGTGTGCCCGGCCTGCTAGGAAGCCATGCGGCCCGTGGGAGTCAGGATCAGGCTGGGCCACGTGCAATGTCCCTTCAGGTGTCACTGCGCCTACGTCTCCTCCTGGTGTCAGCCCGGGAGAGGGCTTCCCAGAGGAAGAGGCGAGGTGTGACTGAAACACACAGTGACTCAAATTTGTAGAAATTTATTAGAGTAAAAGACATTGCCCTTAATCCTCCTCAGAACACTCCTCTCAAGTATGCTGGGGACCTGGCCAAGATCCCCAAATGCCTGTGTGAGGGGAAGGAGAAGGAAGAAGAAGAAACAGAAACAAATTTAGCAATGCACAAAAGGGGGCCTGGGAGGTCAGCGCCTCAGGGTGGCAAAGACGAAGCCCTCCCCGGCTGGCCATCTTTATGATTTCCAGTAAGAAACACAGGAGGCGGCAGAGGGTACTTTTCCTGGAACACAGTAGAAGTGGTGGTGGAAGGGACAAGTTTAACGTCACGAAAGGAGCAGGAGCCTTTCCCACACCAGGGTACTAGTGCCCCCTGGCATTGTCCTCGGCAGATCTCATCCTGTCCTGTGGGTGACACAGCCTCACTGGTCACCAAGCTCTCAGGGGTTCTCTGTGTTCTAAACTGGCCCATGAGGCAGGACAAGGACGGCCTGGACTCCAGGATTTGATTTATAACTTATGGTCCTGAACACATGGATCCTGTCATTCTCAATGCTTCCGGAAGCAGGTTCAGAAGTCCTGCTTTGAAAGCGTGCCCACAAAGTGGGACAAAAACCACAGCGAATGCGGCCAAGCTTCATCCAGGGAGAGGCAGGCATGTAAAAGACATTGCTGTCCTCCTGCCTCCTGCTCCCCAGAGCCCGCACTGAGCACCTCTGGCTCCTGCCCAGGTCAATGACGGTGAAAGGTGGGTGTGTTGCATGGATTCCGGATATTGAGGCAGCCACACAGTGCAACGAAAGACACGAAAGGACTTCCAGAATGCTGCAAGAGTGGTGGACGTGTGCATTCAAAGAGGGGGGTGTTTTGAGGGGAATCAATAGTATGGTGTTTTTTACTGTAAAGACTTTTTAAACATTTACAGTATTTTTCAATCACATCACATAGGTTTTGTATTCTGGATAGCAGGCCACAAACTAAAAATCCATGCCCCACTTATGAATGGGAATGACCCAACAACCAAACAAACCAACAGCCAAACAAACCCACAGCCAAACAAACCAAACACCACACAAACCATCTACCAAACAAACCAACAACCATACAAACCATCTACCAAACAAACAACCCAACAGCCATGAACCGTTTAAATCCTGCAGAAAGCCTGAGCGAGCGTCTCAGGCATGCATTTACCCTCCAAGCAGCCGCAAATGGGTTCTGAAATCCAGATTTTCTTTTCTTTCCATTCTGCCTCCGTCTGATAGAAGAAAAAAGGGACGGGGGGATGTATGAACAGCAAGGAGACAATTTAGAATTAGAAGGGGACCCTTCAGGTCACAAGCATGATGACTGGGTGTCCACGCCACATGCATGAGATCCGTCTCCCTCAAAGCCTGTTATGATGTTGGTATATTACCTGATTGACATGAAAATAAAATAAAATTTTAAAAATAGAATAAATTAGTATGGTGACAAAGGGAAAGAGAGTCTTGGTTCAACTCCAGTATACACCCAGAATCTCTTTAACCATGGACAATTCCAACCATGGAAATAATTGCATAGTAGTCTTCCTAAGGAGATTTAAAGTGTTTATTCATTCCAGATTTAATCTCTCTCTCTCTCTCTCTCTCTCTCTCTCTCCTTTCTGGAGCTGAGGATCAAACCCAGGTTGTACACGCTAAGCACGCACTCTACCCCCATCCTACATCCCCATCCCCAGCCCTTGTTCCAGAATTTCTCCATCGTACTCTCCAACATCTCCATGCTGAGGGCAAATCTATGGCATACACGTCACAGCAGACTGTGCCATTTTAAGCTCTAAGAGGCTCTCCAGGACTAACCCTGACCCTAACCTATGGCATCACCCCAGGAATCCGCGTACTCCCCTAATCTCTGAAGACTTGGTGGGTCACTCATTGTTCAGGGACTTTATAAAAAATTCTGGGTCGGTTGACTCAGGTTATCCGAGACCCATCTGAGCCTTTACAGTCCAATGACTTTGGGGTCCCTTTTCCACACCTTGTGTGTGGGAAGGCCGCGTGTTTCATCTTCTCTGAAATACAAACGGCCATTGTGCAGCTCCAGGTGAGTTTCGGTGAGTTTGTGCCCTGGTGAGCCAGGGAGGCCTGGACTCACAGGTATGTTTGTTCAGTGGTTCATATTCAGATGCACCCTCCCGATGGTTTACTTTATCAGTCGTCCTCTCTGTCTTCCTTGTATTCCATCAGGTACAAGACACAGTGTCATCTCCATGTGGGTGCCCTGCAGACGCTAATTGGTGGTGACCAGGATAATGATGTTGACAAAGGGCCCCGTGAAACTGATGACTCATTTGGCTGCAGAGGCCGAGGACAGCAGTTATGTAACCTCATTCACCAAACAGGTACTATGTCATAGCTCCATACGACTAGGGGCATGCTGCCCGGCAGGGCTTAGTCACTCCTCGGGGCGAAGCCAGCGAGGCTCTCCAGAGGCTCTGCGAACCACTGCCACCCTGGGCAGGCTGGTTTCGGGAGCCACGCGGTCCTGTCCTTTGATTCAGTGCCACCAAAACCGCTACCCAAACTCCCTCAGCAGTCAGCAATTGGATGAGCAAAAAGGTGAAGCAAGAAGCCTGAATCAGATGATAAGAAAAGAAAAACTACTTGATAGAGGCTGAGTGTTTTGGAGTCCTGTGGGAAGGCCTGGTCATGTTAAATCAAATTGCCTGTGGAGTAGATGTTTACAGATAAGTTTTCAGTTTACTAAGACACTAATCTATTTCTTTCTTCCTTTCTTCCTTCTTTCTTCCTCTCTCTTTTGCTTTCTCTTTCTTTCTGTCTTTTTTCTTATTTCTTTCTTTCTTCCTTTCCTTTCTTCCTTCCTTCTTTCTTTCTTTGTAAGACAGCATCTGTGCTGTGTAACCCTAGGTGGGCCTTGTGTTTGTGGCAATCCACCTGCCTCAGCCTCCCAAGTGCTGGGATTACAGGTACACACCATCACACCTGACAAACTCTGACCACATTTGACCTTCAAAATGGTATTTTATGTGGTTCAATTTAAAAATAATTCTTTCACTCTGAATGTATATATACAAACATTGGCATATATTAAATGATAAGTAAATTTTTAAAACTTTTTTATTATTTTAAGGTAGTAAAACACAACAGAACAAGATGGAACAAAGCCAATTTAGATAGTGTAGTGAAATTGGTACAGAACTTCACAGCAGGTTACTAGGATAACAGTAATAGGTACCATGGTATATCTTGTTATTTTCACAATAGTTGTTCTTTCAGTCAGGTATAGCAAAATAAAATGAAATACAGAACATTATAGAACTTATCAAAACAGAATATTGAATAGCATTACCATTAATCAGAGCAATACCATTAATCAGAATAAAGCAAAACAGTGGTAAAAATATTTGCCTTCAGAGAGATGGTAGACGGATATCCCCCTTATTTGCTATATTGCATATGGTCAGCCTTCCAAGAGATGCTCAGATCTCTGGCTCCCATTTGCTAATGGGGGAAGAGGGGTAGGCTCACTACCACTAGCAGAGGGCAAGCTGGTTGCTTGGTTTCCCAGCACCGTAGGTTCCAACATGGCTCAGATCTCAGGAGATGCTGATGGTTCTCCCTTGGTGTGGCCACATCCTGCCACACCTAGTTGCTTACCAGGGAGGTGAGCTGATTGCTTCTAATAATGGTAAGTAAATTTTAAATACTTGCTTCCTATAAAATGTAGGATCATTCTTACTGGATCTTTCATTTTGGTATAGGGCAGAAAATGACTTCACATATTTTCTAAAGATTATTACTTGGCTAAAAATTAAACTCAAACATTTTTAATTGAGAGCTTGGCTGGGCCAGGATTAATCTCAGCAGTATAAGTGCCTGCCTAGCAAGCACAAGGTCAGGAGTTCAATCCCCAGTACCAAAAACAAAAGAAATAAATAAATTGAGAGCTGGGGGCATAGCTCCATGGAACAGTGTCTGCTTAGCTGTAGTCTGATCCCAAGCATTCCCATCCCTCACACAAGTTAAAAATCAGAATTTTGAATTTAGGAATGATTTTTTCCTACAGTATCTAAAATCCAATAATTAAATGAGCATTGGTATTTCTTGAAAATTAAGACAGTTGTTTTACATTAGGGGTAAAATGGTAGCCATACATAACCTATAAATCCATGATAATCAATCTGTACAGACACAAACACCTTTCTAATTATAAATTGACAACTGGCCCTGATGGTGTATGCTTGTAGTCCCGGCACTCTGGGAGGCTGAAGCAGGAAGATAATCATGCTTGAGCCCAACACGGTCAATCTAGCAAGACCTTGTCTCAGAATTTTAAAAAAGGGTCCCAGTACAGTGTAAAGCTCAGGGAGGAAGTACTGAATTTAATCCTCCTTACCATATACACAAAACATTCCTTCAGTTAAGATTCCAAAGAGAGGGGTTCCAGTAAAGATGGTAGATAGATAAAAGCAGATTGCAGAGGCTCCCTGAGACAGACAACTCAGATGCTGAAATAACACAGTGTGGGGAGTCCCGGACAGAGGGAGATGGGTCCTCTCGACCCAGGAAGAAACTAAAGCGAAAAGAACCAGTCAAATCTGCAGTTCCAAGGCTACTATTGAGGCAGCTAGGATTTTGTGCTCTTGCATGCCGGAATTCCCTCTGCTTCGACTCAGTGAAACCACAGTCACACTGAAGTGCAGTCGCACTGAAGTCAGATGTCAGCGATCCCATGGAGAATGGAGCTGCCAAGGGACCTGCCTCGACCTGCAGTGAGTGCCAGGAATAAAACCCTTCCACAGGAAAGGGGCACCAACAGGTCCACATTTTGGAATTGGACAGGACTGGCAAGAACAAGGAACAGCAGTGACTTCAGACAGTTGTTCCCTTCCCAGACGAGATTGTGGGGTATGCTTGGCCTGGGTCATGCCCCTGGCTGAGACCCAGTAAGCTGTCCCAAACCAATTCCCTACCTGTGGTGCACACTAATGCAGTGAAGGCCTCAGCAGATTGACTGGCCCGGACAGGAGGAGCCAGCATATGCCAATCCTGCTTGCACCTCAACAGCACATTGGAGTGGGCAGGATCACCTAGCCAGCATGCTTCAGAAGAACCATAACCATCAAGGAAAGAGACTGGGACCTCCTCTATATGCCTGTATGAAAGAAACAAAAAATATGACAAGAGGAAGCAACAAGAAAAAGTCCCCAGCCTCCAACCCTGAGAACACTGATCTAGCAGCGGTAAATACAAAAGAGATTGAGGACAGTAAACATGCAGTATCAGACACAGCATCAGCGGACATATAGAGATATCTTTGGGACCTCATAGATGAGTTCAAAAGTGAAATATTTAACCAAGTAAAGCAATATATAAGTAGATTAATAAAAGAAATACAAAGCACCTCTCAAGACACAGACAGAAGAATGGAGGAGCACAATAAAAGGAGAGAAGTGTTTGATGAAGAATATAAAGAAAACATAGAACACATGATGCAGGTTCAAAGAGATTACCAGGAAATAAAAAACTCTATTGAAAGATGGCAAAACTGCTTGAAAGAAACTAAGGATAGATTATCCAAACTAGACGATAAGTTTGCCATGTGGGATCATGAAAGGAAAAATTTTTTTAAAATAACAAGGAAACAGTCAGTAACAATACAAGGGCTAGAAGATGACAAGAGGATCTATAGCTTAAGAATAAAAAATGTGAATGAAGAAGCAGGGGTATAAACAAAGGAACTACAAAGGCTACTCACATAAACAATTACAGAAAACTTTCCGAGCATAGGAAAAGGAAATGATATTCAGATGTGTAAGACATACAGAACTCCAGCAACCTACAACCAAAACAAAGCTACACCCAGGCATATAATAATCAAGATCCCAGAAATTCAATATAAGATCAGAATATTAAAAGCCATCAGAGAAAAGAAACAGAATACCTATAAAGGGAAACCCATCAAAATCACAGCAGACTTCTTGACACAGACCATCAAATCAAGAAGAGCTTGGAGTGAAGTATTCCAAGCCCTGAAAGAAAATAACCTCCAGCCCAGACTGATGTGCCCTGAAAAACGGTCTCTAGAAATTAGTGGAGAAACAAGGTGCTTCCAAGACAAAGAGGAACCGGGGTAACTTGCGACCACCAATCCAACCCTACAAAGAATACTGAAGGACATTCTAGAGAGAGAGAAAAGTACCAGGATTCCAGGAACAGTGGAAGAGAGGCCTCAATAAATGGAGCAGAAAGTGGAATGAAGGAGAAAAGCAGACAACTAATGGCAGAAAAAGAGCACAACAGAAATGAGGCAGAGAAGATGGCTATAATATCTAATATAGATGGCCTTGATACACTAAATTTAAAAAAAAGAATCACAGGCAAAGTAGATCAGGAGGTAGAGTCCACCAAGATGTTCTTTATAG